CTACGTGTTCAGCTACTGGAGCAATTGAGGCTGAAAGCGGAGAAGGATTTCGATACGGCGGTCATTCCGGTAAAAATTGACCTGGCGCCTAACTTATTTTTCTGATTTTATTTTGGTTTGTTTTGGTGCCAGAGGGCGGGCTAATGGACGGAGGGTTCCGTGAACCTCCGAAAATTACGTCGCAATACCTATGGGTGTCAGCAAACGAAATTCATTACCGCCCTTCTTACCCGAGATGTTATCAATTTGAAGGGTCACATCAGATCGCGACTATTCGCTTGTATACCAGCACCCATTCCATCATGCCTCATACATAGTACATTGAATCACAGAACCTTTATATGTGCTATGCGACGAATCCTTCAAATCAAAGCGTGGTTGACTTCGAATGAGGAAGACTTAAAGAGTTTAAACAAAGAGGAATCGATTGCTGCTGATGAACAGAGTACGGATTCTAAAAGCCCTACAGTATATACCGAATCATACAGTCGGTGTGTATGTAGGGGACAAGATCCCGTCGGTGTGGACCAAACCGACTGCTAAAGTAGCGAACACACATGACGACACCCAGCCAGGAGAACACTGGGTCGCCATGTACGTTGATCGAAATGGCAGAGGATGGTACTTCGACAGCTTCGGGCTACCTCTCATCGTGCCCCAGCACGCTACAAGACTCCGAAAGAACCGTAAACTCTTCAAGTGCAGCATCCAGCAGCTCCAGCATCACGAGCCAAGCGTATGTGGACAATACTGTATACTTTTTCTGTATTATATGTCTATGTTTGCTACTCCTAAGAAGTTCTATTCGTTATTCACTGATCGATTCATATCTAATGATCGTCTAGTGCGAGAATATCACAATGCGTTTATGAAGAAAAAACGTGCTAGCACCCCCGAGGGAAAGTTGTTTAGTGGCCGCGGTTATAATTGTACGTCGTGGAATCAAAAATGTAAGTAGCCTATAAGAAAAAAATGTAATTCGTGGGTCATTATTTTTGGGAAAAATATATACAATTAATAAGTGAAATTCTGTGTTTTTATTTCACAGTGTGATGGCCACTATGACGCACCCACAGCATTCACAGTTACTCCCACCCCACCGCTCACTCGTGTTGGAGTCGT